GTTAGCAGCACTAGCATGCACGTAACGCGTCCTCTCTCCGTTTGTCCCAGATGTGGTCCCTGTGGGAGGAGGACAGCGCCTGGACGGACTCCCTGCTCAGAGACATTGAGACTTCATTTCCCAAGATGCACGAGGGGGATAATTCTGAGCTCGGTGCCTACCAGGTAATTTTTGTATCATTAATGCTCATGTTCTTTCTTCCCGGGGGATGATTGCGATTTACCAACAAGCATCCGGCCGGAGGACACGGCGCAGTTTGTAATGTTCCGTTCTGCTCGTTGGAGAGCGACGGACGCGCTCTTCAGGCTCTACTTTGTGCATTGCACTCAAAACCCAATTGGCTCAATTAAATACAAGCGAGTGGGTTGTTTTCTGTAGGGGCACACGATGTTCCTGCGCTTTGATGCCAGTTATTAGCCGAGCAGAGACCTCCAACGAGAATTCATTTGGGCTCTGCCGTGGGATTGGACATGTGTCTCGTGAAATGGCTGCAGCTCATGCAGAGGTCAACAAAGTGTGTGTGTGTGTGTGTGTGTGTGTGTGTGTGTGTGCTTGAGGTGAGGACATCAGAGCTAGGCTAGCTGTTTCCAAGCTAAGCTCAGAGAGACTCAGAATCATCGTTTCTGAGGTTGTGTTTTTCTGACAGGAGCGGCGTGGCGTCCTGCAGGGGAGCAGGGCGCGGTTCAGTCGGATGCTGGAGGCGGGGCTCTGGCTCAAGGTGGCGGGCTGTGGGGGGGTGGGTGCGTCCACCCGCAGCCTGGAGGCACGATGGAGAGCCCTGCACAGGAAGGTGGAGCTCAAACACACAGATGTTGAAAGGAGGAGGAAGCTGAGGAGCAGGTGAGAGACGAGAAACATCATTTCATGATATTGTAATATACATAATATTATTTTACCATGATACATTTGTCAAATACAATAAAAACAAATATTATTAAAAAAAAAATATATATATATATATATTAAAATATATTTAAAATAAATATATAAAATAAATGAAAAATATTGAAATGACACTGATCCAATAAACAGGTTTTGTCGTGACTCCGCCGCGCTGGCCGAGTGGATGGGCGGAGCCAGAGAACTCATTGACCAATGCCGTCAGCTCTCCGCTGAGGACGAGGTGGATGTTGAACAGAGGCGGGACCACTACCTGAAGTCCGTGGTGAGTTCAGGCCCAACTTCACGCCTGCACACATATTATTATATCCATATATTTGCTTTCTGATGTAAAATTTGTTTTTAAGTAACGTCTGTTTGAGTTTCCTTTTATTTTGTAACACTGTAAGACTTTTCATCATGTTCTGATGTCAGTGGACCTCTGAACCAGCGATGAGTCACAGTCTGCTCAAGAAGTCTGATCTTCTTGACCTCCCTCCTGTAATTGCAAATAGCTAAATGTCCAACATAACATTGCAAAGGCCGAAAGGTCAAGCAGGGAAGCAGCTGCATTGTGATCTTTGTGCCACTGAAGGCAACAGAATATAACTAAATATTTATATTTTTAGACTTTGACCAAAGAGCTGGAGGCCAAATCTCAGCTGAAGGCGGCTGTTGTCTGTGTTGGGACCCAGCTGGTTGAGCTGAGGGAAGAGGACAGAGACCCTGATGGAGGTCTGGAGGACCCGGATCGGCTCCCCGTCCCCTCCCAGCTCAGACGGGTCGAGCTCCACTGGTCCGGTCTGCAGGCCGACGCTCCTGTCCTCCAACGCGCTCTGCACGAGGTGAGCACGTCGGGCACATCTAGAACAAACAAGTCGCCATCGGCCGGTTTCATCGCCCCCCCAACCGCTGCTCACTTTGTCTCTTTGCATTCGTTTGACCCTTCTCGGCCACCGTAGCGCGTGACTTCCGTGAGTTTGGTGTAAATACAGAGATCCGGGCGAGGGACGGATTTAGTGGGTAATTATTACTCTTTTCTGGGCTTGTGCTTCTTTTTCTGAACATGTGGAATGGAGGTTCATGTCCGTGTGTTCGGTGCAGACCAGCCGCAGACCTCCTGTCACCAATTAGCTTCAAACATGCCGCCTCCTCGCACCTTATTGGTGTGAAACCACTGCTGCCTGTCTGTCTGCCTGTCTCCGCCTGTCCTTCTGTCTGTCTCCCTCTTTTCCGACTCGTCTTCTCTTCCCGCTGTTATTTTACGTTTCTTCTTCACCTCGATCTTTTCTCTCACACACGGTTCTGTTCTGTCTCACTCGACTCCTTTTCAAGTTATTTTCAAACTCAGGATTCATCTCATAATTCATCACGCATGGGACATATAAAAGGCACAATTCTTTGTGTAACCTTGAATTGTGGGTATAATCTAACTGATATGTGAACATGTGATTTATTAACTACATGTTCCAACGAGGGCAGAATAAATCTGCTGAATCTTTTTGGTTGTTTGAGGAACGAGCGCTTCTTCAAGAACAGAGTAAGGGCATCACTCTCTGCCTTCTCCTCTTCCTCAGCGATGGATGAAGACGTTGTCCCAGCAGGAGGCGCTCCTGGAGCTGCAGGCCTGGCTGGAAGTAGCCGAGTCCCGTCTGGAGGAACATCGCGGCAGAGTCAACGGAAGCTCGGCCTCCGACGCCGACCTGGGTCGGCTCCTGAGATGCTGCGAGGTGGAGAGGAGCTGCTGCGTGATGGACGGACGTCCTGATCGCTGACCCGTTTGCGCTGTAACATTACGCTGTTTTTTTTAGGAGAGTCGGGCCGAGATGACGGCGCACCGGGCCACGCTGGACTACTTGAGCCGGCCGCTGCACACGTGCGGTACCGAGGACGGCCAGAGGGGGCGCCAGGAACACAACCAGTTCGCAGAGGAGCAGGGTCGGCTCAACCACCGGTGGCTCCGCCTCCTGGAGACCCTGGACTGTCAGGTCAGAGCAGAACCCAAACCATCATGATGCCACAGTGGCTTCACGTCAGTTCAGGCTCAGTACCGGGGTCTTGGACCCGAGAACGGCCCGTTAAATATTCCCAACTCCCGATTCGTTAATCACTATTTTCTAAACCTCCAAAGTTCTCGCCGCTCTGATTGTTTGTGGTGTTCAGCTCGACGAGGTGCAGCAGGAGATGAGGAGCAGAGCGGAGCAGGAGGCCCGACTGCAGCAGATCAACAGCTGGATCGCAGACCAGAACCGCTGGATGGACTCGGCCCGGACGCCCAGCAGCCTGACGGAGCTGCAGAGGAGCGTCGACGCCGCCCAGGTCAGTCGGAAACGATCCCGCCCCCCCGACCTGCTGCCACGCGTTTAACCCCTCAAGGCCTTTCAGCGCGACGCAAACGCTTTCTCTTTGTGCTTCTGGTCTTCTGAGTCAGGATCTGCAGGAGAAGATCGAGCACCGAGCTGCAGCCCTGCAGGAGTCGAGAGGCCGACTCGTTGGAGGAGGAACCAGCAGCAGGGATCTAATCGCTCGGACCGAGAAATCCATCCCAGGCCTGTGCAGCCCTCACACAGCAGGTGAATGACCCCGAGGACAACGTGGGACGCCAGAGGGTTATGCCTCCCGGTTACAGATCACAACATCCAAAGTGTATTTATTCCTACTTTGACGGAACAAAAGCCTCTTTTTTGTTGTGGATTCAATGTGGCCACTATAGCGAGGTCTCGTCTGCCGGCTTTAACACCCCCCCCCCCGTGACGCTGGTCCATCCTGCTTGTCCCCTGACAGCGGGACTCGCTTCACCAGAGGCTGCTTCGGGCCCGGCAGCTGTGGGAGTGCGTGCAGAAGCCGCTGAATCAGATGATGCTGAAAACGGCGCGAGTGTCTCAGACTCTGGAGCTCCACAGCGGCGCTGCACTCTGCCTGCAGGCACACAGAGACCTCCACCTCCAGCTGCAGGTACAGGAGGACCGCTCCACCACCTGGAGAGGATGGAGGCTTTAAACATACAAGGGAAAGCTTTTAGAGCTCCTGGTTTTTCGGTTTTTCGTATTCACATTCTGTGTCGCTGATGACTGTCTGTTGTGTCGGCATCAGCTTCTCCACGAGGAGACGGAAGCCTCGGGGACAGAGTGGGACGGGCTGAGCCGAAGCGCCTCCACCCTAAGCGGCCTCATCAGTCCCGCTGCCGGCGTCCTCCTCATGGAGCAGCTGGACAAGCAAAGGGACAGGTGAGACGGAAGGCTCGCCAGCTGACGCTGGTTTGTTGGGTTTCAAAGTGCCACATGAATACACACCACCCTCCCCCAGCTGGGCGGCGGGGGCGGCGGCGCTGGACGGGCGGCTCCGGGGGAGTCGGGCGGTGCTGCAGCTTTGGGAGGCGTACGGCGCGCTGGCTGCGTCTTCCTCTCTGCGGCTGCGGGCGCTGCGGACGGAGGGCAGGTCGCCGGCGGGCGGGGGGGCCGCAGGCGACGACGGCGCGGAGCAGCTCGCTGGGAGGATGCAGCTTGTCCAGGTGAGGGGGGGTCGCTACAGCGGGTGCGATGATCCATTCCTTGTAGTTTGACGTCTTCCGCTGACAAATATTAAATCAATGAATAAATTATGCTATTGAGAGACTGCTTCTTAACCACTGTTTGTCCCTGTCCCCCTCTGTCCCACAGGGCCTCCTGGAGAGGACAGACGCTCTGCAGTCTGACATGGGGGGTTTGCTGGAGGCCTCCAGGGACCTAACCGGCCACCTGGAAGCTTCGGCCGCCAGTCTGGTCCAATCAGAGAGCTGGTTGTTGTCACACGGTGTTCAGCAGCTCAGCCGGGCGCTGACGGGGAGTCGGACTCAGCTGCAGGTGAAACAAAAGATCTATTGATGGACGGATTACTGAACGGTGACGTCAGGGAGACACTAAATACGACTAAAATAAAAGAAATAAATCTGAGCACTCTAGATTAGCTACAGGTAAAGTGTCATGTTTCAATCTGTCGAACGTGTCGTGTCTCTGTTGTGCGTGCAGGAGGAGCTGGAGCAGCTGCAGGAGTTTGAGGACGTCCTGGAGGCTCTGGAGGAGAAGCTGGAGCTCCAGCAGCAGGTGAGACTACGTCCACTCAGACTTTTCCGTTAAACTGTAAAGAGGAAGATATCTTCTTCAATATATTTGGGCTGGAGCTTTTAGAGCTGTAAATATGTAAATTATACATATATATATATATATATTTATTTTTTTGTTGCCAGACTCCTGTATATGTTGTATTTAAGGACTGGGATGAAAATGTCATTTTATTTTTATTTCGTCACATGTTTAAGACATTTCTACACACTCTTGTGACCTCTTGTGACCGCCGTGTGTCTCCAGTCCGGCCTCCTGGAGCTGAGCGCTGCCTCCGCCGACTTGGATGTGCTGAACGGGCGGAGCTGCAGCCTGTCGCTGGGCGACGCCGCAGCTCACCGCCTGCGAAGCCTCAACCGCCGCTGGGCCGACGCCTCCGCCAGAGCCGAGGAGGCCTGCAGGTCAGAGCTGAGATCAGCGCGCGGACGCATGAGCCAGGGGAGCGTGTTCTTAGTGATGTACTAAACCTGAAGAGTTCGTGGAGGGTTGTAGAACGGTTAAAACGAGGTCATGATCAG